GAAAGCATAAAAAACACCAAAACACACATCCATCTAAGTATTAAGACCACAGCTAACTACTGAGTGGGTACCAACTTGAGGGCACTTAACATCAATCCATCTATGTTGAAGGTAGTACTACAGCTACATATGAAATTGCAGATTAAAAGGGTTACAGGATTGGTTCTGGGTCTTTGGCCATCTGGTTACATGGTGGTCAGGATATGACACATAAATAATCATGCCACCCTGAGTCCTAGCCACAAAGTTACATGATAGTAACAGAACCTCCAACCTTTAACTTTAATTAAATAGCATGCATCTGATTGGCTATTTTTGGTAGCCATGCAGTCAAGTTCCCTGGTTGTGTGAGCCCTTCAGCAGACTAGTTAATCTACTTTCAACTCCACTCTTCCAGAGGGCAAGCTGCTTCTCCTTGGGCTAGCGCCACCCACATTTGTCTAAATATAAGCATAACCAGCCAGATTGCTGGTCTAATGGCCAGCAAGTGTAGGAGTCCTGGTGTGGTTCTGTGGGTTAATGTGCTGGACTGCAAGGTTGGCTTGAACTGCAAGGTTGGCAGTTCAAGATCATCAGCCACTCCTTGGAAACCCTATACGGGGCCGCTATGATTCAGAACTGACTCAATGGCACTTAACAACAACAAGCATTGAATAAGTAACTTAAAGAACTCAAATGGCTCTGAATCTATGTCAAGACTCAAAATAGGTTTAGAACTCCCACTGTAGACCACAACCTTCTACAAAGCAATAGAATTTAAGCTCAAATGCAGCCTCAGTCACTCTCCACACAGCACTTCGCTTCATTCCTTCCAGCTATCTGACTTCCGGGAGCTCAGAGTCCACCATGTCAACACTTCACATCTTTGTTCAAACTTATCTTTATTTATTTTGGTGGCTTGTTTCCCTCTCCCTTCCCCTGCTTTTGAAGAAAGCCACAATGTTCCTTAGCCTTCCCAGCCAGGGTCTGGCATATAGAAGATGCTTTGCTAGTATTTGGATGAATTCATCTTTCTCAAAAAGAAAGGTTAATGAAAAAGAGGAGGAAGGAGAAAGAGGAAATCCTTGAGTGAGCTCTTGGTGGCTACTTCAGACATTCTTTAGTGGGTCTAATGTTCTTTCCTTGGCTCAGACATTAAAATATCCGCAGAGATTGAAGAGGGCTCAGTCCTGGGACTTGCAATCCCTGTGCAGAGACCCAGGTGTGCCAATCCTCCTCCAGATTGGACTTTGTAGTTAATCAGTGTGTCCGCACACACAAGAGGAGAGAGCTTTGAGTGAACCCTTGACTGTTCCCCATGCTGAACACGTTGTGGGCATGACCTTTAAGGGACTCCGTTTGGGTTTAGAAGCCTCCTGAGGACAGAGCAAGTTGGCTGGCAAGGAAGCTGAGGTCCCTATCTCTCTGCAGGGTAGCAGGGTGTCCCTGGCCTGGGTAGGGTCTCCTTTGCCCAGAGGGGCTACCTGAGTCAGATTGGGCCAGTTCTCCCCACAGAACACAACATGAGTCTTCATTGCAGGGGTGACATGTTCTCGGTAGGACCTGGGGACTCGGGGCTTTATTGGGGGTGTCGCCAGGGAGATCTGTCTCCCACAAGAAAGGTCAATAACAAAGGTGAGGTGAGTTGTAGGGATGGGCTTCTGAGGGTGGACCAGCTTTCCTCCTAGAAACAAGAAAGAGAACAAAAGTTTGTGTTGTCATAAGCCAAAGATATGGTTACATTCATTCATTTGTTCTTTCATTCAATGTGGGCTTATCTGAATGTCGGTTCCTACACAAAGCTGGGAAGACACTTGGGGTTAAGAGTGAAAACTACAACACATGAAATGCTTATTGACAGAAAAATGGATAAACAAAATGTGGTTTATACAACTCAGCCATAAATATTACTCAGTCATAAAGGAAATGAAGTCCTAATGCATACCACAACAGGAATGAACTTTGAAAACATGCTGAGTGAAACAGGTTGGTCACAAAGGGCAAATATTGCATGCTTTCACATATATGAAATAAGTAAGTCCTAGTGTTGTGCTGTGGGCTAATGCACTAGACTGCAAAGTCTATTTGAACCTCAAGGTCAGCCGTTCAAGCTCACCAGCTGCTCCTCGGAAACTCTATACAAGAGTTGGAACCGACACAATGGCACTTAACAATAACAACAATCAGGGATAGGAGGCTAAGCAATGGATGGCAAGGTCAGCTTGAATCACAAGGTTGGCAGCTCAAACCCATCAGTCACTCCTTGGAAACCTTATACAGGGTTGCTATGAGTTGGAACTGACTTGATAGCACTTAACAACAAAAACAGGCATAGGACAGAGCCCTGGAAGTGTATGTAGTAGGTTATGCATTGGGCTGTTAATCACAAGGTCAATAGTTCGAATCTTCTAGTGGCTCTGTGAGAGAGAGATGAGGCTTTCTTCTCCTATAAGGATTTACAGCCTTGGAAACCATATTCAGGGCCACTACGAGTCAGAACTGTCTCAACACCACACCACCACCAGAGATAGGAGGGAAGGGAAAAGGGGGGCTTTTGTTTAGAAGTCACTGAGTTTACGTTAATAGTGGCAGAATGGTTTGAGAAAGGTTAGTGAGAATGGTTGTACAACTTAAAGAATGTAATGAAAGCCACTACATTGTAGCAGTAGTAGTTGTTGAGAAGACATATATTTAATTATATAATATTTACCAACTTTTTTTTTTTTCTTTTTTATGTGAATTTCAGCATGAGAGAATCCTAAACTCCAATTCTGGCTTCCCCCTTTATCAGTCATCTGTCTTCAGGAGCCCAGAGTCCACTAGCTCAGTGCTTCTCAAAATGCAGATTCTGATACAGTGACATAGGGTGGGGCCTGAAAATCTGCATTTCTAACAAGCTCCCAGGTGATACCGGTGTTGTCAAGTGCTATTGGGTCTGTTGGGATTCATAGCAAACCCTGTATAGGGTTTCCAAGGCCTTAAATCTTGACAGAAGTCAACAGCCTCATCTCTTTCCCATGGAACAGCTGCCAGGTTTGAACCCAGGACCTTGTGGTTCAAGATCCACAAATCACACTTGAAGTGCATTGGTCCTCAAACACAGGAAGACCCTGGTCACCTTTGACAGATGAGGAAACCGAGGGTCTTCTGCTCTCCCCCTTCCCACATGATATTGTCCACAGCCAGCTTCGAGGAGCATTAGCATTACCAGGGTCCACCTGTATTCTTAAAAAGGTAATTCTTTTTGTTACCCAAGTAATACACATATCTATGTGTTCTTAACCACAATACAGACTCAGAGGAATTTGTGTTCCTGTCGGTTGGTTAACACAGGAAATGAATGAAGCCCACCATCCCCAACTTCCTTCCACTGGCCTTTGTGATGGGTGCAGACACCCTCTATTGCCACTTACCTAAACTGGTCTCCAGACCTGGCCTGAGGTTCATGGCTGCGGCTGGTTCTCTGGTCCTTTAGCACAGAGTTGTTGGGGTCTTCTTGGTAAGCTACAGCTACCAGTTTGGCTCTGGCAGCAGAGGAGTAGTCCCTGGCCTACGACAAGCCTTCCAGGATGTAGCTCCCCACAGAGGACCAGACCTTGTGTATTTATTGGATCTGCTACCAGGTTCCAGCAGGCGCACAGGAACTGGCCTGGGGCAGTTAGGGGACTGCTTTGATCAACAGACTTATGTCAACAGGCTTGTTATCAAGCCACTAGCTGGGAAGCCAGTCTCATACCAAACAGGCATGATTTCTTCCAACTCCAGCTACTTCCGGATTTGGGACACGCCTTTGGAACATTCTCCTGTAGATCTCAGTTTCCCAAAGCTCAGTCATCTGTATGCTTCACCGTTGTTTTCCAATCTGTAAAGCTATTTGCTTAATACTTGCTTTAGAT